CAACCACCATTTCTGTAAGATTGTTATTGCTGTTTTAATCCCTTCTCTGCATAACACTGGAGCTCAAACATGTCACCTATACTCGTCTTTCTGCCATGTAGATCCACTGTAAAATTTCCTGTGAACCTCCTTCCCCCCCAAAAAAGAAAAAAAAAAAAATTACAGGAAAGAAAGCATAGAGGAAACTGTCAGTTTGCCAGGGCAAATAAAGGAAGAGTAACATACAAAACTTAAAAATGTAACTTAGAGCCATACATTGTAGAAGACTTAATTCTATCCAGACGAGTACTTAATTTGGAAGGCAATAGAAAGCCATGAAACATTTTTGATTAGAGAAATGATATGATAAGGAACTGGCAGCACATTATAGGACAGACTGGAGGAGTGACCATGATAGAAGGTAAAAGGACACTGAATTAACCATGGCAGAAGCCTAAACTAGATAGCAGTAATTAAAATTTTTTAAAAGGGCCCCCCTTCACACCCTAAGAGATAATGAAGGGGACCAGTGATTGGCACCTAATTGCATACTGTAGGGCAGAGGGCCCTCTAGTTAAGATGACGCAGAGGTTTTAAGCCTGGCTACCTGGAAGAATGACAGAGTCAGAAGACAAGACTAGGTTTGGAGGATGAAGGGGAGTTGAGAACAGACAGAGATAATGAGCTTTCAGTGACATATTGAGTTTGAAATGCCCAGGAGGTAACTGGAAAAGCAGATCATCATAACAGTAGTCAACCCCTGTCTTCAAGGAACTTAAAATCTGGAATCTAGTTAGAGCTAGAGATTTAGATTTGATAGTGATTCTAACAGGTGCTCCCCAAAAGCTGTGGAAACAGATAAACTCTCCAAGAAAGAGAAGACCAAAAGAAACCCTATCAATTTAAGAACAAAATTTTTAAATATTCCAAATTCGAAAAGCCATTTGAAACATTAGCTAAAAACATTTTAATAACTTAAAACAATGGCTTTTAAAGAGAACATACCTTGATACATTTAAATGTGTGTTTAGAAAAAGATACTGTCTCAATCATATACCATATTGTATTAAAACACACAAACTTTAACTTGCCCCTCCTACTCAAGCTGTACTTCTCTTTATAGAGGTATTCTAGTTAATAAACTAAGAAGGAATGATAGAATTAAAGGCACAGTTAAATTACTGTCATTTGCAAATCACTAGTGAAATAACGTAATCAGGCTGTTAATAGAGCAGAATGAGGGACAACCAAACATCATATGCCTCCTGATGGAAGAACACATCACTACCTATGAATTATACTTGCCCTCCCAACAGAAATCAAACCTCACACGCCCTACTCAGAAATCAGACCTGAACTGATCTTAGTTTGCTCAAAAGTTTTCAATCTAGCCACCAATTTACAGGAAATACAGAGATAGACAAACACATTAAATTAGGACATGTTAAAACTATACCAGAGGGAAAAAAATCACCGAAACCAAAATGAGGGAAACTAGAGGAAAAGTGGCCTGGTTCCTTCGACAAATAAATTACGAGGAAAATAAGACCGACAGGGAAAACTATAGATTAAGATTTAAGAGACCTACTAACCAAATGTAATGTGACTTTGGATCCCAAATCAGACCAACCAATTATTTAAAAACAACCGAGGAAAATTTGAATACTGGTTGGATATTTGGTGATGTTAATTTTTAAAGGTGAGATAATGGTACTATGGTTATGATTTTCTTAAAAGTTGTATCTTTCAGAAAAATATACTGAAATATTTACAGATAAAATAATTATATCCAGGTTTTGCTTCACAATAATCTAATCCAGTAGTGGCTGGAGAAAGTAGATAGGGGTAGAGATGAAATATTAGTGGTTCAACTGTGTTTTAAAATTTTCCATACTAAGTTGTTTAGAAGGGAAACAATAAGAAAAACACCACTCTCAACAAAAACAGGGGAAAGAAATGGGTATGAATTTTGTCTCCAAGACTTATAAGCTGAACAGCACTTAGTGCCCCCCTTGATTAAATGGAGATAAATACCACATAATAAATTCATTATTTGCTCAACCTAGAAACCTGAGCAATATCCTTAACTCCTCTGGCTTCTCAGTCTCCCACATCCCAAATCCTGTCTGTTTCCCTTTCTCTTCCACCCTCCCACTACTGTATATCTTATCTGTCACTGAATCTCACATCACTCCAACAGCCTCCCTTCAATCTGTTTGGTCTCCACACAGTATCCAGAATGATGTTCCTAAAATGCAAAATCTGATTGGCTATCCCCAGCCCCACTTGAAATCCTTAAACTGCTTTCAATCAGCTTCAAGACAAGAGGTGCTCCTTTAAATTTTTTACCTAGTCCCCTCCCTAATTCCTTAAAATGACTTATAGAAGCGGTCTTCAAAAAGTTCATGGAAATATTTATATTATCTTTTAATTCTATTTTTCCATGAACTTTCTGAAGTACCCTTGCATAAGGCCCTCCATTATATGATACTGTCTATCTCTTCAATTTCCATTTCTTCCCATTCTCTCTGACCCCTCTTCATGCTTCAGCTTTGGTGAAATTCTTCTAGTTCTTGCATTGCAACCAGTACTCTAACTGTAATGTAGCTTCAGTACTCACGCCTGACATGCTCTTTCCACCCATCACCACCCCCTTGCCTAGCTAAAGCTAAATCCTATTCATCTTTCAAGGCTCAGGTTAAATAGCATTTCCTCAGAGAGACCTATCCAGATTGTTTTAATATTAAATTAGGTGTCTTCTCACACCTACACAATACAGTATTTGTTCCAACAGGAACCTGTACTTCCCCATCACAACACAGTACTTGTTCGTAAAGAGTACTTGCTTTGGTAAATATATATTTATCTGTTTTCCAGCTAGACAATAAACTACAGGAGGTCAAGTGCTGGAATCTGTCCGTTGCTGAATCCTGAATCTCTCATAATGCCTGGTAGCCAATAACAAATTGCTGAATATGTAAAATTCACAACTTTCTCGACAGTTTTCTTTATACTCAAGTTCCATCTTCCTAGTCCTCATCTGCAACAAAAACAGACAGCCATGAAGGCATTTATACAGGGATCTGAATCCTGCATAGGAATGCATATTCTGAAGAGAATTGAAAGCACAATGGGAATGAAAGATATGAGCTGGGAAAAGTTATTACTCTAAAAATCTATTTTCAGTTTGAGATCATTTGTATTCATACCTACAATTTTAGAGAAAATTCAGGAATGCCAATCTGACAAAATGAGAGTCAAATGACACACATAGTTCCCACCGAACCATTAACAAGTTTTCGGACCCAAGATGTTAGGTCACTTAACCTTTCCAGCCTCAGTTTTCTATAAAATCAGGGAATCTGACTAGCTGGTCATTAAGATCCTTTCTTGAGTTAATATTATATGCCTTAATATTTAAAAGGGCAAAAGATATGTAAACTGTTGAAACTCTAATCAATTGGTTTCATCCTATGGTGGTATTTTTTTTTTTTTTTCCTTTTTAATCTGTTTAGGGATGTTACAGTCCTTCATGTTGAACTTACAACTAAACCCTTAAACCTGTTCAGCTATAAAAATCTCATAAAATGCTCCTCAGACCATTAACTTGCATATTTAACAAGGATCACCACAATCTGATGAAACAACATCTAAACCCAGAATGAATTACTGAACTATATTCAATTTTTGTTTAAATAAAAACCTTACCTATCATCTGTTTTAAGGGCTAGATGTCTTGCATTCTTGATCATTTCTACGGCAATCCGAAGGCAAAGTTGTACCCCAAGATATAAGACCTGGACTTATGGGCATTATTTAACACCTAACTAAAAAACTGACCATACACAGTCTCTGCTTCACTTCACTGAGCTGGTAGCTAAGATGGCTTAACTTGTCTCATACCCTTCCAAACTCTCATACAATTCAGAGTTCACCTATTATAAATTCCAGTAGTTACTAATTCCACACTTGTTTGTATCAGGGAACTGATGTGTACACATTTTATTTCGAAACCAGAATAAAGTTTTTTTAAAAATTCAAAACTAGTTATGCTAAATAAGTAGCTTGTAAACATTTTACTGTTATCAGCAGACGCCCAGTTTATAATCAGCCACTGGAAACTCGGGGAAAGACTAAAGTAGTAACACGTTTGTTTCCTGGTTTAGATTAATAACAAAATAGTTTTGGCAACTGTTTGCTACATCAAATGTCACGACAAAGACATGAAATGTTAAAATGCACGAAAGAAAAAAAGGATGCACTTGTAACAAAAAGGGTGAATCTGACCAAGCGTAACGCTATCCTTCACACTCCTCTCAACAGGGCTGCCCTAAGTCGGTGAGCAAGAGGGCGCAGCAGCGGACGTTCCGCAGCCTCAGGTTGAATGACAAAGAGCCCCCGTCAGCACCAGTCCCGGGAATCTGCGGGCTGCCCCGTCCCCTCCGCAAAGTCGACTGGAACCCCGCAGTCACGCCTTGGCTTGGGGAATGCGGCTCCCCACACCACTCTCTCAAGTCACCAGGTGGTACACAGATCGGCGGGCCGAGAAGGTTGGGGCGGGCATGCCACGAGTCCAAAATGACTCCCTCCCCGAGTCCCTTCCCTCGTGGCAAAAGGCGGCCAGAAGAGTCTGGAGGCACCAGATGAATCAGCCCCACGTCGTCCTTTTTCCAGATCAAAGCATCTCTCTAGGAGCCTACTGAAGACTAGAGGGGACGCGACTTCCCCAAGGTCACCAGGCACCACGACCCAACTCCTCGTCCAGGCCAGTGGCCGGCACCTGACCACGAGGCCCGCGGCTCGGCTGGGAGAGGCGCTTTCCGCAGCGCCTCAAGGTCCCCTTCACCAACGCGGCGCTCCGGGGCCACGCGACTGCCGCGGCCACGATGCCCTCAATCGGGCAGCCTCCCCTCCCCGCGGAGATGAAGTCTCCCCTCCCCCGAGGGTCCCTCGGACCCCACCAGGGCAGCGAAAGCACCGCGGGTTCCGCGCCGAGCGCCTCCGGGAGTTACCCAACTAACCGTTATGTGCGTGGCTCGCAGCGCCGAGCGTGTGCTTGACGCGGCCGCGCGAGCCGGACGTCCGCAGGGCCCACGGTCCGGCTGGCGTCCTTCGCCCGCTGCCTCGTTTGCTCGTTCGAGCACCCACGCGGCGCCCTAGTCACGTCGCAGTTCGCCACTTTGGCGTGACCTGCGCGGCTGCTTTATAAGCCGCCGGGGCCGGAGCATGCGCGCAGGGGGCGGAGTCTGCCCTCCCGGCCGCCGCCCCCTCCCCGCCATACATACACCCGAACTGCAACTCGCGTCCCCACTCGCTCTCAGCCGCGCGTACCCGCTCTCTCGTCCGCGCGCGCCGGCGCCCCCTCTTCGCCACGTGACTGGCGGCGGGGCAAGACCCGCGCACTGCGCCCCCGCTGTGCCGCGCAGGCAGAGCCGCAGTGCTCGTACGCCCGACTCTCCTTTCCGCCCCATCCGAGGAGCTCGCGGCCACCTACACGCGTCCGGGGCACAAACGTGGTCTCACCCCTCAGTTTCTGGCGGAGAAAAGGGAAAGCCGCCAAGGGGCCGACTCAGGTGTGGGGGGTGATGGGCGCGCGGAGTGGCCGGGAAGAGACTGGGAGCGGAGGGACGGGGCAGCATTTGAATGGACGCGGCTGCAGTGCGGACCGGGAAGACGCCCGAGGGGCCGGCTCCTGGGGCTGTGCGCTGGGATGTTTGTGGATTCCAATCCGGGCCTGTTCAGTGACTCGGAGAAGTTACTCAGCCCCACTGGGCCTGTTCCTCCTGTCTAAAATGGCAACAGTAATAGAATCGACTTCATAGGCTCATTAGGAGGTTGGATGAGAATTTATGGAACTTTCTTACCACAGAGCCTGGCCTGTGGTATTTGATGAACGGTGGGTGTTAAAGACAAGTCGGGAAAGAAGAGCAGACAACAGGGTGGGAAGAGTGGCCCGATAGGGTGAGGTGTGTATATAGGAAACATGGAGAAATGAGAATGCAGAGAAAGCAAATTTTAATGGACACTGTTTGGGATAGGATAAAATTATAACTAACGGTGTTGGGGGAGCTGGTTGTATGCTGGGCACTTCTCCTGAATTATCTTGTATAATCCTCATAACCCTATGAAGTAATTACTACTGTGAACATTTTTGTAAATAAGGGATCTGAGGGTCAGAGAGGTTAAGTAATTTTACAGATATCACAGAGCTGGTAAGTGACCAGCATTTGAAGTCACATTCTAGAGCCGAATTTTCTCATAAGAGCCATTGTAGGTACTTGACCAAGTCCAGATACCACAGTGTGTCTTTTGAAGTGATCAAATTAAATAATCATGGAATGTCTTTGATGTCTTGGACTGTTGAGAAATAACAAAAAAAAGTATGAGTCAAAGCCCCTGTTTTTAAAGAGGGTACAAGTTTTGGGGAGAGATGGGTCTGACACAAATCAACCAACATTTGTCGAGCACTTGCTGCATGCCAGGACCCTGTCTTTCACCTCATGCCTTCCTCCCTTCCATGTTTTCCTCCTTCCCTGTCCCCCTCTCCCTTATTTCTCACAACTGTGAGGTAGGCCTTATAGTTTCTCTTTGGCAAATAAAGAACCTGAGACTGAGGAGGAGTAGGGATGGGGGATCAGATCCTGAGAGGTTTAATGCATTTCCTCTCACCCAGCCTTCCTCTGTTTTACACAACAAAAAGTTTTCAGTAACAGTTCAACATGTTAGTAGAAGACAGTATGGAATCCATGACCAATAATTGCTTTTTACATTTGATAAATGCACTTCACGTCATTGGAGTGGCCAGGAATTAGAACACCAGTGCCCTAGGATTGTTAGGGTGGCAGCAGCATTTATGTAGATGGTTGGGAAAGTCAGGTATGAATTTATAAGGGCCTACACTATGGAATGTAGTGGGAAGTGGTAAAATAAGATGATTCCCAGGAAACTTCAAAAGAAGGCTATAGAGCAGCATAGTGTAGTAGATTCATGATATGGACCTGGGAGCCAGGTCTCCTGAGTTCCAGCTTTGATTCTTGCACTTACTAGCCTGTTCCCTTAGGCAAATCATTTTACCTCTCCAACCTTCTTTTGCCACCCTGTAGAACAAGAATAATACCTACCTCATAGGGTTACTGTGTTATGATAATAAAACTAGAATTTATTTCAGTGCCTAGCATATAGTAAGCACTAAATGTATAACCATGGAAAACCAGATTTTCCATGAAACTTAATCCTAAAGATTAACCCTAATGGCCCCTCACTTGAATAGACCCCTTCCAAGGCTGTGAGAGAGGTCCTAACAATGTATTTACAGGATCATACTTAATGTTGTATTATAATTTTGTTTTCCTTTTCTTGAAGATAGTGACCAAAATTGTATACACTTCAGGCCCTACAAAACCTGGATCTGCCCCATGCTAGGGACTTTATTGTTACGAAAAAAGTATGGACTTTGGGTTCAGAAGACCTCATCCCATAACTACTATCTGTGTTACTTTGGCAGTTAATTCACTGGTCTCTTCTGGGCTTCAGTTTCCTCACCAGGTAAATTAGAAATAATACCTGCAAGCCTGAGTTGTGATAATCAAATGAGATTGTATTTGCAAGAGTGATTGGTAAATCTTGGAAAGTTTTCTACGAGTGTTTATGAATTCATATTTGTCTATCAAGTGCGTAAAAGGGAAAGATGAAAAGCAACTCCAGAGTTCTTAGCTGGAAAAGAAACAGGGTGAGTAAGCTAGCAAAAATGATAATAGCAAAAATAAAACAGGTAGGGCCGGCCCGGTGGCGCACTGCTACAGTGCGCCGCTTGGGAGTGCGGTGGCGCTCCCGCCAAGGGTTCGGATCCCACATACAGACCGGTTCCCGCTCACTGGCTGAGCGAGGTGTGGGGGCAACACCGAGGGTTGCGATCCCGTTGCCGGTCCCGGTCCGGTACGGGCGCGACACTGAGGGTTGCGATCCGTTGCCGGACACGAAAAAAGACAAAAAAGGAAAAAAATAAAAAATAAAAAAAAAATAAAACAGGTAAAATTCTTGCTCTTGTGCTAGATTTTCCTCCTGATTTAAGCCATAAGACATTGAAGAAATAAATGTCACAGGAAGTGTGGGATGAGAAATTTAGAAATTAGAGAAAGTTGGAGATCATCTAACTCCCCCCTCCCCAACACACACACACACTTTACAGAAAAGGAAATTCAGGCCCAAAGAAGCCAAAAGACTTTTCTAAAGCTGCCCAGAATGGCATGATCGGAAGAACCATATCCCCAAGCTCCAGGTTCTCTTTTTTGTACCAGGTACAATTTTTAAGATGGGTTCTTTCAAAACCATTACATCAAAACTAGAGAAGGTGTGGTGATTTCTTTGGCTTTTAGCTTTATCATAGTTCCCAGGACTCACATTTCTGTTTTTTTTTTTTTATTATTATTATTATTATTTTTTTCCTTTTTTGTCTTTTTTCGTGTCTGGCAATGGATTGCAACCCTCAGTGTCGCACCCGTACCGGACCGGGACCGGCAACGGGATTGCAACCCTCGGTGTCGCACCTGCACCTCGCTCAGCCAGTGAGTGGGAACCGGTCTGCATGTGGGATCTGAACCCTCGGCAGTGCCGCTGCGCTCCCAAGCGGCGCACTGTAGCAGTGCGCCACCGGGCCAGCTCTCACATTTCTGTTTTAAAGGTTGATCGGTTGGATGATGTTATGGTAATCTGCCTCAGGGAAATGCTGTACTGTTGTTTGCAAGCTTAAGTGAGCAAAATTTCTGAAGGTTTCAAGGTAAGAATTCTAACTCAGAAATTAGTGATGGGATGGAAAATGCAAATGCAGTATTTGTAAATTATAACAATATAGGTACTCTTCAAGCTGAGTAAGTTGCTCAGTTGCTTTTTCTGGAAAAGGAGAAAAGTAAAATTACATTGTGTTTTCTCTGGAATTTACCTACTTCACTTACATTCCCTCAGTTGTCCATTTTTGTGATGTAGGAAAGAAGGTGCTATTTATACCATTTTACTAACAGTAAACAATACAGGAAAACATTTTTTAAAAATAGAATATTTAATCAATTAAGAGTATTCCCCCAGGGCTGGCCGGTTAACTCAGTTGGTTAGAGCACAGCCTCATAACAACAACAACCCCCCCCCCCCAGGACATTCCCCCTACTCGTAATTCATAATAATTTAATAGGGAAAAAGGAAAATAAAATTTGCTTTTTAAAAAAATTTCCAGCAGCTGGCTGTTATGGGGATCCTAATCTTGACCTTGGTGTTACAAGGCTGCGTTCTAACCACCTGAGCTAACCGGCCAGCCCCCTAAAATTAGCTTTTGAACCATGTATGAAAAAAGGATTTGCTAAGCAAATACCTAGAGTAAAGGAGATAATGCCAATCCTAAAAACATTCTTTCTTTAAAGTTGAGATCCCTCTCATTCACAGCATCTTCTTCATCTAATTTCACGTTGTGTCAAATGTAGTCCTGCTGCTTCCCAAGGCCTGAGTCTGCATCACCGATGTACCTGTCATTCTTTGAAGAAAGGCTAACTCCATGTTGGTGTGGTGCATGCCAAGCCACTCCTTAACCTTGCCTCATCTCTCCTCAGCTCTTCTTGTTTTGACCCTTTGCTTATCTCCCCCGCCTGCACCAGTTCACCATTCTAATCAGTTGCTTCTCTGGCTCTCTGCTGGCATGAGATGATTTGGTCAGAGCAGTTTGGTAGAAAACAAATTATTTGCAATAAAAATTCCTTCAGCATAACAAATAAGTCAAAAATTACTATTTTCAGTCACTGGTTCTTTGTGTATTTGGTAATTTTGGTGGCCAAGGATTTGATTTACTGCTTCTTTGGGTCTTTGAGAATTTTTTTGGTGCAGATACATATATGTTTATGTTTTTCAAGGAATCATATTGTATATACTATTTACTACATTTTTAAATATTTGGAATGGCTTGATAGTATGGGACATTTACATTGTTTCTTAATAACTGTCTAAAAATTAATTTAAATTAAAAAGCACGGGCCGGCCCGTGGCTCACTCGGTAAAGTGCGGTGCTGATAACACCAAGGCCCCGGGTTCGGATCCCACATAGGGATGGCCGGTTCGCTCACTGGCTGAGCGTGGTGCTGACAACACCAAGTCAAGGGTTAAGATCCCCTTACCGGTCATCTTAAAAAAAAAAAAAAAAAA